TGAGGTATCATCATCATCACCATCTATAAATACCATTATCAGGACCATCGTCAACAAAATCATCATCGTCGTCGTTATAAACATCATCATCATCATTAAAAACATCATCATCGTCGTTATAAACATCATCATTATCATCATCATTATAAACATCATCATTATCATCATCATAGTTATAAACGTCATGATCATCATTATAAACATCATCATCATCAACGAAAACATCATCATCATCATTATAAACATCATCATCATCATTATAAACACCATCATTATCAACATCATCGTTACAAACGTCATCAACCTGAGAGATGCAGCAAATAGTGAATTCGACCTTACAGCCGATCAACACTGTTCGGTCGAATACTCCAAAAACGCAAAACTTTAAAAATAAAATTATTTGTTGCAGTGCAACAAGAAGAAAACAGTTAGCAATTCAAAAATTCTTTATCAAGATAATATTAAATTTGTGACATAATGAACTATGCATCCGATCAGGAATAATTAGAATAAAAAGAGAAATATTCCAAGGAGATGATATGACATCATTGCTGTTTTGCATAACCATAACTTGGTTATAAACTTGATGATTTAACTTTAATGAGTCATTTAAGTTATATGGATGACCTAAAATTATTTACTTCAAATTACGAGAGTATGAAACAAAATGTAAAAGTTGTTGGACAGTTCAGTAATGACATCAGAATGGAATTCAGTATTGGTACATGTGCAACACTGCAGTTGAAAGGTCGGAAAAAGTAGTTGAAAGAGATATTGTACTCTCAGATGAAAGAAAAGTCAAAAGTGGCAAGCTATATCTACTGGAAATTATGTCAAGAAATTAAACATGATTGAAATATACTACGAACACAAGTCAGAAAATTAAACATACAGTGATTGAAATATACTACGAACACAAGTCAGAAAATTGAACACACAGTGATTGAAATATACTACGAACACAAGCCAGAAAATTAAACATACAGTGATTGAAATATACTACGAACACAAGCCAGAAAAGGTTTCTCAAACGAATGAAGCCACGGTGATGCGGAACGTTACTGTAGCAACAGAGAGAACTATAATTATACTAACGGGATGACCAGATGAAGTTTACAGGATTAAAAATACAAATGGGATTGAGATTTCAGTACCAGAAACTAGAAACGTCATAGAAAAAAAGAATTAAAAACACCTGAAATACAGAGATTTAGAAGTTGAAATTTCAAAGATGTGGGTGTTAAAATCGAGATTGCTATCTGTGGTAGTTGGAGCAATGCGAGGAGTAGGCATGGAGTTGAAGAAAAATCTGGAAGAGATACCTGGAAAACCTGATGTGGTGGAGACGAAAAATATTTACACCTTGACGAAAGTACTCAGATGAAGTCCTGAGGTTTCTAAGTGGAACTCTTGGATCCATCTATTAGCTCAGCTTTGAAAAACTGTGTGACTTAAAAACCATAATAATAATAATAGTAATAGTAATAATAATAATGATGGTGATGATAATAATAATAATAATAATAATAATAATAATAATTA